GAAGTTCTTATAGGTACCTTTCGTAAACATTATAACAAAAATAAAATAAACATGAATGTAAATAATGAGTCAAATATAAAATATGCAGATAAGTCTAAAGAAAACCTATTTTCCATTAATAACAAGATTTCAAAGAGTCTAAGAAATACCACGATGAACCTGTCTCAAGCTTCAGAATATACAAGAAATATGTTACTATTATCTGTTACAATACCTATGCCAAAAAATCAAATTTTAAATACTATGTCAGGTACGGAAAAAACTATCAGTAACAATAAAACTGTAATAGAATATACTAGAAATACCAAGCCAAATAAATCAAAGATTATCAGTTCAGTAAACAATAATATAACTGTAACTATAAATGTGAGTTCAATCATAATACAAAACCCAACAAACATTGCCACAAATGAAAATACTTTAGAAAAAAGTTTAAAAAGGTCTTTAAATAAAACCCAAAAACATGAAATTGAATTTTTAAAAACAAAAATGGATTATAGTGACTTTACTTATCCTAATAAAAAAACAATAACGTCTTCATTATATGATAGTATCGAACATCCTTTTGATCTTGGCAGGAAAGTTGATTTTTTAAGAGTAGCCACAACTAAAAGTGATATTAAGATTAAAAAAGTTTCGACATATTACAATGATAAACGAATTAATTGTACTTTACAAGTATTAAAAAATACTGAGTTACCGTTATTAGAAACAACAACGACATATGATACCGTTTCTCAACTAAATAAAAAGAGGAAAAACATTGAATTAAATAAAATGAAAACTCCATTAAATACAAAAAGCATTCTCCAAAATAGTTTTAATGATGGCAGATACGTATGCGATGGAAATAATAACACCAGTATCAAATTACGTCATCAAATACATATTAATAATAAAACATATAATAACAACAAATTTACAGTTTCACCTATGACTAGTCATATAGTATTCCACAAACAAAATAAAACTGCGAAACCATTTTTCTATGCCAATACATTACATCTAAGAGATGCAGCCAAAAACTTCACAAATATTGATGTTAATCATAAAACCATAACATCAAGTATTATTCATAACAATGACTCAATAACTAATATTCCAGTAGCTTTGATTAAAAATAAGTTGCATAAAAATGTTTTAGTAATTGATTCAACCGCAATGAATGATTCATATAGACGAACGTTTGGTAACAATGAATTAGGAAGCAAAGGTAACAAAAGAAAAAATATATTCTATCAAGAAAATACATCAACACAAACTACACAATTACAAAATATGTTTAATAATAAACTAAATGAGTCCGGGATATCTACTTCCTTCTTATTAGATGACTATAATTATACTTTCTATGATGACAAATTCCGACAAAACGACAATAATACCGAGACACCTATCGAAAATTTTAAACTTGAAACTTTAAAGAATGTAAAATCGACAACATACTCAACACCGCAAGTTTTTTATAATAACCCTAAATTGAATATTAGCGAATTAGGATTTACATCGAAAGTTAATTATATTACAAATCACTATAAATTATATAGAGATAAGAACTTTACAAGGCCTATTAATAATAGTATCTTACAACTAGCTTTTACAGTACAATGGCCTCTAACCGCTGAAAGTAAATCTTTGATTATGAATACTTCAGATCTGCATCTCAATGGAAATTCATATTTTAATAATACCTGGGCTTTAGTAAAACTACCAATTACAAGGTCATTTACATACAAAAATTTGCTTACCAGCCATCAATCATTACCCTATTATAAAAATAAGATAGTAACAAATGCTTCCTCTGGGAATTCATCAAATACTATCAAAAATACCACATCGCAATTAACCGAAAGTAAACACACCAAAATGTACGTAGAAAAGTCATTTCCCATCACAATCGGTAAGCGAAGTGGTTTTATATGGAAACGAAAATTTATTATGAAAAAAGAAGGAACTATCAAAAAGACATCTGCATCTGTAGCGCAGTATACACAATCAAAAACACCAGCAAACAATGTTTTTAATGGAAAACATACATTGAATACTTTAACAGGAGAACTGCCACGGCCTCAGAACAGTCAATTATTAAATAAAAATGGAACAAAATCACGCGTACAACAGAAAACTATAATTGTTCCTATGATTCTATTTGACAAAAAAAGAAACGCTACTGACAATACATGGATGTTTCAATATCATGGTAAATATAAAACCAAAACAAGTCACAAAATCAATACCACAACCATAACTAAAATTTCCACAAGTGGGTATGAAATGAAAACTGTACGTCAACTTAATAAATTGAAACAGCCGTTTACTACAATTACACAAATGGCCCATGAGATCAACTTGAACACTTCAAACCTAACCACAACTTTACAAAATCTTCCATTAAGAAGGCGTAACAACTATGAAAGAAACATATACAAACCGATACAATCAAATACTTTAAATAACTCACTAAAGCTTAATGTTTTGAATGAAACGTTGAATCCCATGATATTAACAATTAAATCAAACACTTTAAATAAAATATTTAATTCTAGCATTTTGAATGTTCCATTAAAATCAAACACTTTAAATAAAACGTATAAATTAGGCACTCCAGTTACAACATTAAACCCCATAATTTCAAATACAACTCTAAATTCAAGCACATTATATAAAATATTACAATGGAGCACTTTATATAAAACAAATTATCCAAACATTTCAAATACAACTGTGAAATCAAGTGTTATTAAAAAAATACTAAAGATAAATACTTTAAACGTAACATCAAAGTCGATGAATTTAAACACAACATCAAGAAATAAAACAAAGATATTCATTCATACGTTAAAATTGAAACCATTAAATAACACATCAAAATCGATAACACTATCAAATACATTAAAATCAAGTACATTAAAAAATATAATAATAGTAAAATCTTTAAATAAAACAATAAAATCAATAATTTTAAACAAAGAAAAAAAAGCAAGAATACTAGATGAAATCTTTGTTTCTTCAGCACGTGACATCACCTATACTGTGAAGTATAATACGTATCAACCCACAACTCCAGAAGATATGGAGATTGTATCAAATCTCGAAGCCCGTATCAATGCTTTCAAAAAGAATATTTCGTTGTTAAAAGACAAAGTCTTTAATATTCCTACAAAAGCAATGAATACCACATCATGTGTAGCATTGAAAGATTTTCAATTGCACTTCAAGCAGGCACTCAAGAATTTCAATGAAATATTTAAAAGATATAATTGTTCAGAAGACAATACCACTACAGCAAAAATTGGTTTAGGGAACAATTCGAAAAATAAACCACGTAAAATGTTAATTATAAGAGATAATCTTATGGGTAAGAAAAATAAGTCGACCATTAAAAATACTACGTTGGATACGTATGCAAAAGAAAAACTTTATCCTGTTAAAATTGACGTACGGAACAATCGTAAAATTATGAAAACAATAAATTTGGCTGGCAAAAACAAAAAAATTATAACAATGAACACTAAAGATTTTTTTGCTAATCGACGCTTCGCAACGCAGAGGACTCCATCCCCAGTTTATAAAAACGTTAATTTTCTTAAGCCTTTTCTTTACCGCAAAGCTATTTACTCTCCACCACATATGATTTTAAGACCAAAGTTTGATGAGATTGATAGAGCAAAACCAAAAAAATATAATAAAATGTTGAATTTTGAAAATGACTATAACTTTTATAGAGAAGATTATCGGTTACACCGAAATCAATTGTCATGGAAAGATAAAGTTAATTTTATGCAACAATTCTACGAGAGGACGCCGGTGACACAGAAATCAATAGAAGAAGTTGAAACTGTCATTTCGCGTCCAGTTTCGCTGAGTCCAACAAACCCTAGACTTCTGAGAGATAGAGTGAATTCTATAAGGAACTTTTTAAATACTAATTTTGAAAAACCTATTAGTACCAGCTCATACGTATGGAGAGAGCCATCTTCTGATGATTCGGATGAAATCCGTGATAGGCTTGATGAGGAGTTTCCATTTAGACGAAATGATTGGGTAGTAAAAAGGATGACTGCTAAGCTAAAAGAAAGGACAACTGCTAAAATGAAAATATTGATGCTCAAGGGGACTACTTTGAAAAAACCACGACGGACACGTTCGAGAAAAACCCTTCACTTCTTAAGTCCAACTGTACCCTATAATAGATATTTTTAAATTATGAGTTTTAGTATGTAATAAAGTTTTGTAACTAATATCGTTTGTTATTTTGCATCGTGAGCTCCTTAAGGTTTTTAAGATAAATTATATGTAGAAATGAAATGAAATTTATTTATTCACACAAAACAGAGTAGATAAATTTTGGTGGTGATTTTCATTTAGTTCGTCCATTTTGCCAACGACAGGGAATGTGAATGGCAAACTTAATTTAATCGTAAAAACTTATATATTTCTTTTTAGAAGATGACGTCTGATTCGTTTTCTTGCTGCTACAATGTATTTCACATCTTAGGCGTGTGTTTAAACTTAACGTTTTTATCGTTAGTTTAGCACTGAATAATAGGTTAAAATTATATTCTATTCTATTCAATTCCATCCTATCTTATTTTTTGTAATCCATTGTTATCCTCTCATTTTATTTTAGCGTAGAAATTAAATACTCATGTTAGTAACTTCAGTGTTATTTATGTGCCTAATGTTTTTTAAAATTTGTCGACTACGAAAAACCGGAGGAAGACATTAATATTAATGGCACATACGAAAAAGTCTAAAAGATTTTAAAGATAACGAAAGTTACCAATCGATTGAAGCGTAAACCCAAGATATGAGCTTGAAAATAATTAAGTTTGTTTCTCTTCGTTCTCGCTGTGCACCTTTCAATTCTAGTCTGTTCGATAAAAAGAAAGAATAAAAGTTTGATTGTTTATAATAAAAGAAATATTTGAAAGGAATGTTTTTCAATAATTTCTGTCCCTAATTCTACATGTAAATCAATTGTCGTGCTCTTCCTACAGATAACAGAATGGTGGTTGGATGACATGTACCTGAAGATCCGTCTGCCGCTCCCTATCAACTCCAACCCCGGCATGGTGTTCCCTAAACGTCACTTCGCCAAGATGGACGAGGTAGCAGACCTCGGAGCGCTCTTTATTGATGACCTACTAGATTACAAGGAAATGCTTGACAGGTTTGAAATATATCTTTTTGATGTGTATTTGGTTATTTTGATCGCCTTATATAAAAATGGCATTATGATAAATAGTGAAAGTGGAACATCCAAATAAGTGGTTTAATAAAAATATATAAATTCATGCTAATTAGGTATGTGTGCAGGATTAACAAATCATCAAAGGTACGGCAACTTGAGAGTTAAAATGAGCTTACATAATACACACATCTTTCCCATAACCGCCCTCGATGATACCACATTTAGTATCGGATAGGGCTCGTATGTAGCGGATTTATGGAATAGTAGAAAATATAAGTAACAAAACAACGTCCATAATTACATAAAGAACTAAAGGGTTAATAGCGAATCCCCACGGATGAACCTTAAATTAATGTGAATCCCATAATTGGAAAAAGAGAATTTTAGACTCCCTTGAGAGAACTACATAATTTGGCACTCAGTTAATTATAATGTCAATGTTTAGAATAAATATAAATGTATATCAAATGATTTCAAAAGTTTTTTTCAACCATCGTGACATATTGACGAGCTTATGTGCGTAAAAGTTAAAAATTTCACTTTTCTACAGAGGCGAGTTGCCTTTGGAGCGTGCCACTAGCCGCGAAAAAGGCCAGCCTCTCTGCATGGAACAGTTCTACCGTCTGCTAGGAGTGTGCCGGGTCCCAGAGGTGGGCAAAGACCGGCTGGAGCTGCCAGAGCCCAGGCAAGACGGGGAGAATGAGGAGCTGGTCGTGGTGGCTTGCAGGAATTACGTGAGTACCTTAAAATCTTGTAGTGTTATGGTAGCCATACACACTACGAGAAATCGTTACGATTAGACTGTACCGTCCGAACGGTACCGATAAATCGTAGCGTGTATGTTATAAAACTGCACAGTTTCCTATACTAAACGATATCGTATAAACTGTTCCGTTCGAACTGTACAATCTGATCGTAACGATTTCTCGTAGTGTGTATGGCTGGCATTACACTATATTAACTTTGACGACCTACGTGGTGCAAGTGGTTTGAACTCCGGGTTCCAAGATTTTGCCCGCTCTGAAGTCCCAGTTAAGGTGAGTTGTCTTGAGATCGTGCGACCAGTCGCGAGAAAGGCCAGCAGTCTCTGTGCATGGAGCAGTTCCCCTGGGAGTGTTCCGGGTCCCAGAAGTGAGCAAGGACCGGCTGGAGCAGGTGGAGCCCAGGCAAGACAGGGAGAGGGAGGAGCTAGTCGTGGTGGCTTGAAAGAATGAAGTCAATATCTTTAAGTCTCGTAATATAAATATTTTCAGTTTAGTTATAATTTCTACTATTTTAAAGCATGTAACTGCTTGATGTTTAAATCTAAAGAAAATATAACTAGAAAAAATTCCACATGGACCAGGCTGCCCGTCTGCTGCCTGGTCCGCGTGGAATTTTCACTTTCGTTACAAAAGTTAGAACTATGAGCAGTTTGAGCAGAGAATCAAAAATTCGACCGCCATGGTGGAGTACAAAGTGAAAAGTTTTCAAGGTGTCGCCCACTCAGATGTTCGAATCCCGAGGGGCCAAATATTTGTATGATGAATACAAGCATTTCTTTAAGCTATAGGATGTTCATGTATTTCATCATCATCATCATCACCAGCCTATTAATGTCCCCACTGCTGGGGTACAGGTCTTCCCTATGGATGGAATAGGGAGATTGGGCCATGACGCGGGCCCAGTGCGGATTGGTGGGTGCTAACGACTGCAGATGGAGCCACGGTTCCCAACTTAAGGGTTTTGCCCCCAGATTTAGGGGCTCCAAGGGTTTTTTGAATTGGAATTTTTTGGGGGTTCTTTTAGGGGCTTTTAACAAAACTTAAAAAATTAAATCGAAAAACAAAGCGTGTGTTTTCTTGCAGTTTTGTGCGTAGAATGGAATGCACCGCGATATGAAAAGACTGAACTCACTGTGTGGCAGGTTATGTTCTAAGGCTGTATGGACTAAAGTTCTTTGCCTTCCACCAATTAAAACAGCTAAATAAGATTTAACAGCCTGTCAGCTCATTTTCGTTTGATTTTCTATTCGGAAAATGTATTTATTCAATAAAATAATTTACTGTAACTAAATATGTAACGTTTATGAGCAACGAAAGAATTTAGGTAATAAGTTAAGTACGTACATATTATTATAAATTTCTATATTTAGGGGATTTTAGGGGAATTTAAAAAATACTTAGGGTAAAATTTTGGTAAGGGTTGGTAACACTGGATGGAGCCGGGACCAACGGCTTAACATGCCTTCCGAAGCTCGAGATAGTAAATTTTTGGTCCCCCATGCAATGACCGACCACTGCGAAAGTTGCTTAACTTCAACGATCGCAGCCGAACGCGCTAACCACTTGCGCCATCGAACTTCTCGTATTTATTTTACAAAAATATACTTTTCTATTTATCTCTTATCTATATGAATTTCTATGCGTTACCCTACTATCCTATACCACATTGAGGCAAGTGAAAAAATGTAATATGTTTGTTAGCTAGGTTTTCACGCACACCACTCATAAAATAAACAAGCTTGCACGGTTTAAATGCGTTAATTTATTTGTTACTTGACGTTTCCTATCCCTTTCAGGCTGCGTCAGAATTAATATGAACATTTTTTTTTTATTCTTTATTCTTTATTGCATGCCACAGATAGTACAAAAAAATGGTTGCCTGTAAAGTCGGTTTTACGGGCGAAGATTTTACGTGACAACGTCTTTTTCTCGGTAGAATATTTATTGATATGAATATAATTAAATTGCACAATAGGAACAAGGAATTGAATGAAAATAAGAATTGCACAAATTTTAACTATAGAAATATATTTTGTTTACTAAAACATTGTACATGTAAACTTAAACTTAACACGAGAGACTCATCGTAACGTTACCGAGCGTTACACTTTTTCATAAGTGACTCCCAGCCGCAACCTAATTTAAGACGTTGTCACGTCAAAAAATTCAATTCAATTATTTAACATGCATCTTACCAAAATTAAAATTAAAAAATACATATATTTTACAATTTAAAAACTATAGATATTAATATACAATTTTCACACTCACAATTTTTAATATAATATAGAGGTATGTCATGAAATTTAATATTTTTTTTTATTACTTCATTAAAATTATATATCAAATATGTTTATCTTGGAAAAATTCTAATATATTATAATATGATTTATTAATAAGATATTCCTTTAGACATTTTTCAAAAATTGTATCGTTTTCCAAATTTTTAATATTGTTGGGTAAATTAAAATAAATTTTAATTATCATGGAGTGTGGAGAATTAGATACCAATTTCAAGTTTGAAAACGGGAGCTTCAGTTTATTCTGGTAGCGATCATTACGTCTTACTAATTTTACTGGGGAGTATAATTCGATATGTTTTCTCACAAACTTGCAGGCTTCAGAGATGTATAGGCATGTTATGGTAAGTATTTAAAAAATTTTGAAGTATGGTTTGCAGGAGTCTGTCTGTTTTATTCTTATAATATTTTTCATTTTATATAATAACGACAAAACCCCTGAACATTACTAACTCTTTCCATAATTTCCGTTAATGAATCTGTTTGCATAATGAAATACTCCTCAGGTCACCCCAAGCCATACCCAAACTAGTCTCGTATAATAAAGTTATCACTGTGGGTCCCCGCACAGTTAATCACTTAACTAACTTGGTCCACACAAACTTGGAACTCTTGTCATAGACGGAACGTGTTAGTGCAAAAGTTCCCCTAATATTGAACGATGTCCGACTACACCACCCTGCGCATCGATATGCTGGAATAGCTATTTATTTACAGCTATAAATGTTTCTCTCTCTCATTCTATTTATTGTATATACTATAACTAGTGGCCCGCCCTCGCTTCGCTTCGGTGTAAAGCTGTATAGTACAGTCAATCTGTCGAAAAAAATATCGTTTCAGTGAAAAAAAAACCTAAAGGTAAGTCTTGTTTTTTCTGTTGCCAAATGACGTCAGTAAGCCACCTTGGCGATGGGCATGTTCAACTCGTAGGCGTTTTTTGAAAAACTCAAAAAAACCGTCAAAAATTTTTTGAAACGCATTTTTCTTGTTTTGTATGCATTCTAGAAACTTTTTTTTTACCATAATTGTAGAGGGCGTTGAGTGCTACAGTTTATGTCATTGTTGCAATCTCGTACAACAAAAAATGCGCATTGTAGGTGGCGCTAAAGTCTCAAAAAAGTGTTTTTTCACTTTTTCACCCTGAAAATAACAATTTTTAATCATGAAAAAAATAAAAATAAAACTATTTTTTTTTTTTTGTTTTTCAACCATGAAAAAAAATAAAAAATAGTAAAACGTACATTAAAATGTGCACTGCAAATGTGTACGTGAACTGCCCAAAACCGCTCTATTGGATTTTTCATACCTGCGCAATTTATAACTTGAAAACGGTAAGTAATACAAAAAAATTGTTTGTACAAAAGTTGTTGGTAATTATGTACGAAACAACTTTGCCATTTAAAGTTTTCCATTTAAATGATATTTTCAGGGTGAAAAAGTGAAAAAACACTTTTTTGAGACTTTAGCGCCACCTACAATGCGCATTTTTTGTTGTACGAGATTGCAACAATGACATAAATTGTAGCACTCATCGCCCTCTACAATTATTGTAAAATAAAAAGTTTCTAAAATGCATACAAAACAAGAAAAATGCGTTTCAAAAAATTTTTGACGGTTTTTTTGAGTTTTTCAAAAAGCGCCTACGAGTTGAACATGCCCATCGCCAAGGTGGCTTACTGACGTCATTTGGCAACAGAAAAAACAAGACTTACCCTTTAGGTTTTTTTTTCACCACTCAACCTACAGATTGACTGTACTAGTAGTGTTGACTAAAGTTTTTGTTCTCAGGCTTGTATTATATACAATGACATACTTCTAATACCTAATTACAATAAGCACGCGCCGCCAGGCTCCCCGCCCGGTAACGTCGGAACCGCTATTTCCCTGCATTTTTAATCTGTAATATCTTCGAAAATATTAATTTGAATTGCATGCTTTAAAGGGTCAAATTGATCTGTATTAAATGCACAATGTATTTAAGGTACTTAATTGGTTAAGGATGAATGTTGTATTGCTGAAAATTGCTTCGTAAATAAGCTATTATTTCTCGTAAAATGTATAGGATAAAAAATGGTTAGTGTGGGTTATCCCTAAGAGATAGACATATACCATCGCGAACTTTTTTGTAGTCCTTTTTAAGGTGTACAATACTGAAGTACTTTATTTTGATCTATCTCGTAGGGTTCAGCCAGCGTTTGCAATGTAAGCGCAAAAAATGTGTTTATTTACGACCTTACATTGTAAACCTCTAAAATTATCAGTGTTTCCCTACTATATTATACATGTATTATACATATAAACCTTCCTCTTGAATCACTCTATCTATTAAAAAAACCGCATCAAAATCCGTTGCGTAGTTTCAAAGATTTAAGCATACAAAGGGACATAGGGACAGAGAAAGCGACTTTGTTTTATACTATGTAGTGATATATAATCGTACTATTGCGAATCTACTTAAAAATTGCATTCTAACGTACATTCGAGGAGTTCGATGGCGCGGGTAGTTAGCGCGTTCGGTTGCGATTGTTGAAGATATGCAACTTTTGCAGTGATCGGTCATTGGATGGGAGACCAAAAATCTTCTATCTCGAGTTCCTCCGTGCTTCGGAAGGCACGTTAAGCCGTTGGTTCCGGCTGCATCTGCAGTCGTTAGCACCCGCCAATCCGCATTAGACCCGCGTGGTGGGTCATGGCCCAATCTTCCTACTCCATCCATAGGGACAGAGGCGTCTTTACCTATGGTGCAGGGTGTGCGTTGCACACGGGCGCAAAGTCCTAGGGGGCGCCGAGCGCCAAAGCCGCCGCTGTGTGACTTTCTTCTTCAAATTTAATTTCCAAACAATAGAAGTTATTATTCATTTTTGAAATTTGACAGTTTGATTGATGTGTTTTTACTTGTACTTTTTACCTATTCCATTGTGATCACACGCTTACTAGGGGGCGCTAGGATAATTTTGCACACGGGCGCCACATGGCCTAGAGACGCCTCTGCATAGGGAAGACCTGTGCCCCAGCAGTGGGGATATTAATAGGCTGATGATGATGATGAACGTACATTCATAAACTTTCTTATTTTTTGGTAATAATTATGATTTCCAAACGGTTCGCTTCTCTGACGCAGCTCTTCCATTTTTAGGTTAAGAGAAATCGAATTTAATTTGTAATATTTTCTATCAGTCAAACCTACATATTTCTTTTTTTTCCAACCAAATCGGTAATAGGGAAAAATGAATTGGACGATTCAATAATGCGTTTGAATACATTTTCATTTCCAATTCTAAAGTTGACGAGGACAAAGACGCGGCCAGGAGCAGCTATCTATACTTATAATAAATCTGTAGAGAGGTCAATTCTGTACATGAAATATATTTTCAAAATAACTATCAGGGGGTGATTATTGATCGATACTGATGCCAAAAATGCAATCAGTAAAATTTTTGTCTGTCTTTCTGTCTGTATGTATGTTCCTAATAGAATCAAAAAGTACTCGACGGATTTTAACGAAACTTGGTACAATTATTCTTCATACTCGTGGGCAGGTTATAGTATACTTTTCATCACGCTACAATCAAAAAGAGCAGAGTAGTGAAGGGAAATGTTGGGAAAACGGTAGAAGTTACTCTATTTTTTAAGCTTCCGTCGCGTGTGCTGCCTTAATGGTTAAAGTTACATAGGAATCATGTATGACGGAAATATTTTACATAAAATTGTCTAAAAAATATCCCGCAACAGCATATGTCTATCTTTTATGGTTGACTCACAATAACACGTGTAACTTGATAGCTTAGCAGTTCGGAGCATTCTGATTATATTTGTTTACTCTTACGTTTATAATACTCTCACTCATCCCTAATTTAAAAAAGTTAACATTATTACCTATTCAATAAAAAAAGAATCATAGAAAGAGAATTGAATAAATAAATTCATAGTGTACAATACACGCCTGAGAACAAAAACTATAGTCTACACTACAGCTCTACACCGAAGCGAAGCGAGGGCGAGCCACTAGTCATGAATAAAGTTATAATGTAAAGACTTATGTGATTGCTATTGGGTCACAGACGATCTTTGCAATGTAACCGGGCTTGAGACGGTGACCTCTTAGAACAGACGTTAAGCCTGCATACGCTTTAATGGATTTCCAGAGAAGCATTCCCGCAGGGCCTGACCGCCTTAGGGATCTCGGCGCTTTTAATCAATTCAGACTTTGACATTATTTCTCTATTAAATGGAAGAGATTAAAGCATCTAATTATGATGTAGTAAATAATGTAGAGAGGTAGAGGACATAGCAAATTTTTCGATCGAATTAGAGCACTCTTTTTTTGAATATAACAACAGACATTTAGGCCACACTGTAGTGTATTAATTAAAATTTCCCCATCATCATCATCATCAGCCTATTAATGTCCCCACTGCTGGGGCACAGGCCTTCTCTATGGATGGAATAGGGAGATTGGGCCATGGCCCACCACACGGGCCCAGTGCGGATTGGTGGGTGCTAACGACTGCAGATGCAACCGGGACCAACGACTTAACGTGCCTTCCGAAATACGGAGGAACTCGAGATAGTAAATTTATGGTCACCCATCCGATGACCGACCACTGCGAAAGTTGCTTAACTTCAACGATCGTAGCCGAACGCGCTAACCACTTGCGCCATCGAGCTCCTCTTTATAAAATTTCCTATTAGTGGTATATTCAGTTGGTTAGGTTAGTCCATCCCGGTGGTTGGACATAGTTAAAGAAACTACGAATGGCAACTTGCAGGAGTCCATCCGCCTTGCAGAACACAGAACGGTCTTGAGATCGTTGATTAAATGTGCTGTCCTAAAAGGTCACGACTCTCAGCCATGAGGAAACGACGATGAAGAAGAAGACAGTTGGTTAGGCTTCCAGGGCTACGCGGGTTAGAGCTGTGTCTAAGTGTGGGGTCACGGTAGGCAACGGCAGGAGTGATGCTTTGCTAGGCACGGAGTTAGTCAGAAGTCGTACTTGTATTTTATTTATACAATTTATACAAACAGATAGTGATTAAACAAAAAATTATACTTGCACAAGGACACAGCATTTATCAAATAGAAATGTCTTCCAGCGGCAGCTTCCGGCTGGGTGGCGAGAAAAGCGTATTAAAAAACGCAGTCACTGTGCACACCTTTTTTTTGGGTAATGACTTACGCATCCTTCAACCACCGGGGAAGCGAGAAGAAGGTATGTGGGACTCCTCCCTACTCCTTTCAGCCAGTCCTGAGGCTGGATGAAATAAGCAGCGTGCTACCTAACGCCCTGCACAGGGCCAGTAAAAACCAGACAATACTCGTGCACTGGTCACGCGGTATACTTTCTGAGGAGTCCCCCCAATGCACGCCGGGAGTGTGGGTGTGGTGGCGGCAACCGTTGCCGATGGTCCGGGCAAAAGTTCTTCCTCGGCTGTGAATCGAACCCAGGCCGCCCGCGTGGAAAGCAAGCTTTTCACCAGTGAACCACAGACGCTTAAGTCAGTGTCGTGTCTGGTTTTTAATTGCCCTGTTCAGGGCATTAGGTGGGGCCTGGTCACTTCATCCGGCCCAAGGTCTGGCTGAAATGAGCAGGGAGGAATCCTATATACCTTCTGCTTGCTCCCCGGTGGTTGAATGATGCGTAAAGCATTTCGGAGGCAAAAAAAGGTACATAAATGTGAAATACAATATATTTAACTAGAAAAAAATCCACGTAGACCAGGTAGCAGACGGGACTCGAACCCGCACTCTTCGCTATCCGGGCGAATGCACTGACCAATTATGTTAGATAAAAATCAATCAAGGAGCAGGGAGCGCACAATCACAACGAAGTAAGACGAGTCGACTATTTTCAACTGCAAGTCCTTCATCATTCGTAAACCGTTTTGAAATGTCACAGTAAGAGCAAGCGCAGGATGGTCGGCAAGCTTTGTCGTATATCTGGTTTTATAGTACGATATGGCATATTATTATGATTACTAATAATATAATATGAAGGTATTATAAAATGAATTTATTCAGCTACTTAAATATGCCCATGTGTCATATATATTGACTACCAGGATATTTTTTACGGTATCATATCTTTTGACTCCCAGGATATTTATTTTCGGTGTCATAATAAAAAAGGTTAGTTTTTCATAGATCTATCGATTCATACTAATAACATTGTTGGCGGAGCTGGGTGCGTTTTGCCCATTGTCCTTTAAACATCAAGCAGTTACATGCTTAAAAATTGAAGTTATATACAGAATATTGTATCAGATCTGAGAGAGAGGGATCAAATCAATTGCCACTTTTTCCAGTTCTACCCTATCCCGGTGAAGGCGGCCGATCGAGGTCGCCTGACTCCCGGGGAGATCCAGGCACAACTGCTGCACGTGATGGTGGATGCTGCTGGGTTGCCGGCCGCGCCACGCGTCGGTCTACTGACCTCCATGCAGCGGGACCAGTGGGCGAGAGCGAGGGAGCAGCTGATTAAAGGTAAATGGGAATCATTCTACAGGGTGTAAAAAAACCTATGACAAAGACTAAAACTACGCATTCTGTACACCCAAACAAATAATATTACTAAATATTATGCCTGGGAAACAGTTGTATTTTTTAGTTAAAAAATACATTTTGGAGTTTACTCCTTAAGAATCGATTTGCATATATAAGGGGCCCGGTATGAGAAAAATGTGAGGAGTAAAATCTATCGATGAATGACCTCGTTATAAGAAATATATATATATATTTATATATTACTTTCATTAATTTGTTAATTTACCCTTTCATACAGTATCAATCTTTTTTAAGTTAAATAAACTCTTTTTGCGTCTGGTTAGACTATCGAACTTAAGGAGTAAACTCCAGTCGTGCGTCGGAGCTGACACACACATTTTTTTTTCCCAGTACGCAATGTATAACGCATCGCGCTACTGTGGCGCTACGCAAAGAATGTGCCTGTGTGTAAATGCGTCGATAAAAAAGTTTCGAAATAAAGTATTTGTAAAAATCTTGAAAAAAAATGTGACTTTGACCTTCAATATCTCCATAACCATAAATTTAATGAAGTGGAAAATATGTAGCCCTCGACTTCGTTCAAGGTTTTTTTACATCCTGTATATCACGCCAGTGTTGTTCCACGCTGATACGCGCTGTCCACGCGGAACTGATGCGTTGGTAGAGGGGGTTCGATAGAATTAACAACTCACCAACAATAAGATTGAACGGTTTATTAAAGGTAAAAATAAAAACTGTAACAAAGCATGGTATAAACTTAAAAATATGACAGTAGTCCAGTACATTAATATATTAATAAATATAAAATACAATTTTACTTACCGCAATATGGGTTGAAAAACTATTATTTACAGTAATTTATAATCGCCTTCACAAAATAAATCTCTTTTACGGATTTTGCTGCTGGACTGACAATAATATAACTTTTACTGACTGACAATAGTACTATAAAAACCATAAACATTTATTTAAAAATTAGTGGTGGTTATGAAGGTCGAATATGGAGGAAATAAAGAGAAGAACGGATACGGCTATGCCATGCCGTTACACTGATAAATACTTTTTTTGCTTTCAGAGCAAATATATCGCCATTTTTGCCTTCTTCTTTCATTACAACACACAGTTTTATACTTATTAATGCTTCCATTCTGTTTATCTATGAAGTCTTCAAAAGCCTCTGGTATATTATTAAACGATGTTTGTTTCAATCCGTCTTGAAGAAGGCTTTAAAAATGTAACACACGATTTCACAGCTAGTGAAATATTCTCAACAGTGAGAAAAATGGAACACGCGATTTCACAGTTAGTTAAATATTCTCAACAGTGAGAAAAATGGAACACGCAATTTCACAGTTAGTTAAATATTCTCAACAGTGAGAAAAATGGAACACGCGATTTCACAGTTAGTTAAATATTCTCAACAGTGAGAAAAATGGAACACGCGATTTCACAATTAGTTAAATATTCTCAACAGTGAGAAAAATCGAACACGCGATTTCACAGCTAGTGAAATATTCTCAATAGTAAGAAAAATGGAACACGCTGTGAAAATCGCGTGTTCCATTTTTAAAGCCTTGAACACGGATTGAAACAAATATCGTTTAAAAGCCTTCAACACGGATTGAAACAAACATCGGTTAGCAAATCCTCAGGATAGAAAATATATCGGATTCTATCATTTAGGGACTTTGTTTTATTATCAGACGAGAACAACCGCACCAACATGGAGCTGATCTCGCGCGCGCTGTGCATCCTGTGCCTGGACGAGGGTGGCGGAGACCGGCCCGACCTGGACTCTGACACCAACGCCATGCTGCGGGCCATGCACGGCGCTGGCACCCGCCATCATTCCGCCAACCGCTGGTTTGACAAAACCGTGCAGGTTAGTTGGCTTAGACCTGCACCCTTTATTTTATTATTTTTTTTTATTGTTGGAAAAATGCTTGATGCATACCCCGCTCCTGGGTGAGAGGCGGGGTTATGTGGGACTCCTCCTCCCCCCAAATCCCGCCCACCCGCTCAGCCAAACTGGCTCTCGAGACGAGGGTGGGGGGGGGGCTACCCACTAAAAACCCAACAGTGCTTCCTCGCCTGCCGGAACGGGTTTCATGGGATCCTGGTGACTCTCCACGTTAGGCTTAGACCTGCACCCTGGCATTAACGCCATGCTACGAGACATGCACGGAGCTGGCACCCGGCATCATTCTGCCAACCGCTGGTTCGACAAGATCGTGCAGGTTAGTTGGCTTAGACCTGAACCCTGGCATCAACGCCAGCTGCGGGATTGGCAAGACGACGAGGTTATGTAGAACTCTTTCTACTCAGCAAACCCATGAGGCTGGCTTAACGGCTGCTTAGGATTTGAGAACCCCACCACTCCGCAAACCGCTGGTTCGACAAGATCGTGCAGGTTAGTTGAATTAGACTAGGACCCTGAGACCAACGAGATGCTGCGAGCCTTGCACGGCACTGGCACCCGCCATCATTCCGCCAACCGTTGGTTTGACAAAACGGTGTAGGTTAGTTGGATTATATCTAGACGCTGACACCAACGCCATGCTGCGGGATTGGTAAGGCGACGAGGATATGTAGAAATCTTTCCACTCAGCAAACCCATGAGACTGGCTTAACGGCTGCTTAGGATTTGAGAACCCCATCTATTATTTGACCTGCACGCTGATACCAACTCGATGCTGCGAGCCATGCACGGCGTTGGCACCTGTCATCACTGGTTGGATTTCCAATAAGGATCCCAGGTCGTCGTTACTGGCAAGGAGAGGGCATATTCCAGAGTTTTACTGAGTAAGGCACCCTATAACGAGTAGCCGTTGAGCCAGTTCCATTGGTTGGAATGTATGCAAGGAGTGCAAGGAGTCCTAGGCCTACCCAGCAAGGGGATATACATAACATATTTTTCCGCTTTGTTTCCTAGGTTTTCACGCACATCACTCATTAAATAAAACAAGTTTCAACGGGCTAGATACACTGATTTTATTTATTTATTGACATTTGCAGGAATGCGTCGTCGGAATAATTATTTCGACGAATAATTATCAAAACAATAAATAAATGAAATCAGTGCATCCAACCCGTTGAAACTTGTTTCATTTATATTTTTCAGGTCCAAAAATAGTTGGTTGCTGTTATAGTTGTTGGATTTCTGTATTAGGAAATACACTATAGTCTTTCTTGAGGTAACTTGAGGTACTTGGCACTTGTGGTTGCGTCTTGATTTTTTCTTTTGAAAAGGAAAGGTTTTTCCGTGAAAACTTATATTATGGTCGCTGCTTCCTACAATTATGTTACTTATTTGTTTTAATTGGCATAGGAAATAATATAATTCACGTTTATAAGCATTTTACTGATGTTTAAATCTATAGATATCATTTTCGGCTTGTTTCAATGAGAGGGTGGACACAGCTTCTTTAACTTTTATGTTCCGCTGTCTCGGTGATTGTTTGAAGCCATATAATGACTTTTTAAGTAAACATCCTTTGTCTTTTCGATCAATTTTGAAACCTTTGGGTTGTTCCTTGAAGATTTCTTCTTTTGAGTCTCCATTCAGAAATGCTGTTTCGACGTCAAGATGCTCTAACTGAAAGTTGAGATTTACACTGAACGCCATTAATAGTCTAACTGATGATAGTCGGGCTACGGGAGAAAAAGACTCTCCATAGTCCATGTCATAGACTTGTGTGAAACCTTTCGCTACAAGTCTAGCCTTTCATCATCAACAGCCTAACCAAGTCCACTGCTGGACAAAGGCCTCTCCAATTGCACGCCACTCAGATCGATCTTGGGCTACTTGCATCCAGCTCCTGCCAGCCACCTTGCGCAAATCGTCACTCCATCGTACCTGAGGACGTCCTACACTACGTTTGCCTAGACGCGGTCTCCACTCCAGAACTCGTCTAGCCCAACGGTTATCGGTTCTTCGGCAAATATGACCAGCCCACTGCCACTTCAACTTGCTAATCCGGTGGGCTATGTCGATGACTCTGGTTCTCTGTCGGATTACCTCATTTCTGATGCCATCCTTCAGAGAAACGCCGAGCATAGCCCTTTCCATAGCGCGCTGAGCGACTTTGAACTTGTGAACCAGCCGTACCGTCAGTAGTCAGTCCACGTCTCGGCTCCGTATGTCATCACAGGTAGGACGCACTGATTGAAGACTTTCGTCTTTAGGCACTTTGGGATCGACGATGTCAGGACTTGATGTAGCTTCCCAAATGCTGCCCAACCTTGTTTTTTTTTGCGGCAAATACCACGGAATGTCCTCAACAGAGACTACCCGCTAAAACCACTGCGTGCACCCTCTGGGGGAGGATGAGGCCTGGGGACGGAACGAGCCAGTTCTCCAGGCAAATGCTGCCCAACCTAGCTAAATTCTTCTATTCACCTCGTCCTCAAAGTTGTTTCTACCTAACTGCAATGTCTGCCCGAGGTAAACATATTTTTGAACAACTTCGAGAGCGGCACCGTGTATTGCAATCGGTTCCGGTAGAACATGTTCATTGAGTCTAGCCTTATATTTACCAATTTTCCCGCTAGTTTCTCGTTTCACTTTTAAAAAATCCATTTACATTTTATAGTTTTTCCTGTCCACTGGTCTCTTGACGAGTATCCATGTACCGTGTTTCACCAAAGAGTTATACTCTGAGTTCATAGCAGCCTTTAATGTTCTTCTTAATGAGTAATATTCTTCTATATATTATAGCAATATTCTTCTTTATGAGTGTCTTCTATTGCTTGAGTCAGTTTCACTATCAGTTGTACTGAGATTGACATTGTCTGTATAACGAACTGGTGGTTTTCTCTCTCTTGTTGGGTAACGCGGTTCTGGGGGAAGGTCTTTAGTGTAGGGTTGACTTTGAACTATATTTCCTTCTAAAATAGATGATTTAAACCAGAGAAAGATACAGCGAAGAGACAGACATGTTTATTAATATTAGGTGTGACAGATGTAAAAATTTACAATAAGTAAAATAAGTTTAAAAAACGGTCAAAGGTGTTCTATTGTATCGAAAGAGATTTTCTACAGTTATCACCCTCCAAGCACTAGATTCATGTATTTCGTGACGGGTATTGTTCATTGTTTATCGATGAGTCACCACTGATATTAATCTTAACGCGAATTCGTAACACATTCGCCAGTTTACCCCCAAGTCAAGCGTGCCTAAAGAAGTTTTATTTCAAAAACAAATCACTATACACACTCCCTATTCTCCACTTTGTAACGCTCATCGCAGCTGATAATCTCATCGGATGGAACGGTGGGCATGTGCTACGAGCACAGCGCCGCGGAGGGCGTGGCAGTAGTCCGGCTGGCGGAGCGAGCGCTCGCCCGCGCCGAGGTGGCCGACCGGCCCGCGCCCCCGCCCGCGCTGCTACCGGCGCCTGCGCATATGACGTGGCATCTGACGACGCAGGTCAACGCCGCCGTCGAGCAAGCCGCGAGGGACTTAGATCGGTTAGTGATAATCTAATATATAAAACTAGCAAACCAGTGAACCAAATGTTCACAAAAAAAAATGTATTTAATTAATTGAGAACTTCGGAGATTTTGTGTGGTTTCGTTTGAAATAGAAATCACGTGATTTCTCGAAAACCGGAAGTGCTACGTTACTCACATCCGGTTTGTAGTCTTATCAGACTATTCTCAACTTATAACTTAAACTTTCTCTTTATCTATCTCTTACGGTTTGGCCGCTGAAACAGCACCACGGACGGACGGACGGACGGACTTGTCTAATAGATAAGAGATTCTCGCGTCGCGGTGTTTGTGGTTAAACAGTAGGTCTGAGAATCGGACAAAATCTATTTTTCATCCTTTGTTAAGGGTAATCCACCCCTAATTTTTTTTTTTCAATTTTAAATATTTTTTTTTAATTTTTTTATGATACAGCATTAGTAAATACATATAACTATAAATTTTCACCCTTCTACCACCAACTAATATAAAATTCTCGTGTCGCGGTGTTTGTGGTTAAACTCCTTCGAAACGGCTCGACCGATTTTCGTGAAATTTTATATGCACATTCAGTAGGTCTAAGAATCGGACATCTATTTTTCATCCACCTAAATGTTAAGGGTAATCCACCCCCTAAATTTATGATACATCATATAAAAATAAATATAACCCAAAATTTTCACCCTTCTACCACCAACCCCTATTTTTTTATGGCGGTACGAAGTTCGCTGGGACTACTAGTATAATATGTAAATTGACATACATACATCTATTCACGTCTACTGATATGTACGAGTTACTTTAAAGCGATGTTTTAAACATCAACTACTGTTTACATAGATAACATAGTTTGCTACAATTGCTTAATTAAAAGATTGGCTGTGCTTACTCTCTTTCCCAGAAAAGACGTAAGTATAATGCGATTCAAATAAGAATAGGAAAGCCAATGACCTCTATCTGTCAAATGTCGCTTGAAAAGTACGGTTTGCGAAAAAATCTCGGAACACTTTTTTAGCACTCAGCTGATTCTAGATTAAAAACCAATCATTTTTAAACAAACAATAACAAATGTTGATAATTAATATTAGTTGTTGTGTTTTTCATTTATTGCTAGCGAACCATTCATAGCCAAAGCTAGCAATAAATGATAACATAAATCGTCAACCAAATGGCACTTTATGTTGCGTTCAAAAACTCGATTTATAACTTTCGTTTACATATAGGATGCATTTTCGTATGTGACCTGCATGATTATTCATAACTTCTCCGGCGGCAATGCAGAGATGACCGAAATTGAAGAGCTAGATTCTGTTTAATGTTTTTTTCACACTGTCCTAATAAAGAAATACTATTAAAATCGGTTGTGTTCTTTCTCAACCTTAGTAAATTAATTTTATTAAAAAATCTGATGTTTTGTCCCACTTACTTAATCTTAGTAAATAAGTTTGATTAAATAGCAACATTTTTTGCTCACTCTACCTATTTGGTTTGATTTGACAGCTAAGACGTAAAAATATGGCGCCCAGTCGGTCCTATTCTTAGTTGAATCGCATTATAAATCATAATATCCACCAAGCAATCAGTCGTTATAATTTATTTTTCTTTCACATAAAAGTAAGTGTACCATTTGCGGTTTACGATCCTTTACATTATGTATCGTTGAGTGATTAACTCAGAGCAAACCTGCTAGAGAACACTTGAAGACAATTAGTTAGTTAGAATTATATAAGGGAATGCAATCTAGGTATGGGATTAAGAACTTAATTGCATTCCTAAATATTATTCCGCTGTGTTTTTTTTTATATAATTATATTTCCAACATACACACCAATTAGCCTAGCCCCAAAGTAAGCACTATAAGGCTTGTGTTATGGGATACTAGGGTAACGGATAAGTATATTTATATATAAAAATACCTATTAAACATCCATGACTGGAGTACAAATGCACGTATTCATCACACAAACATCTGCCCCCACCGGGATTCGAACCCGGGACAAACCACTCAGCCACGGAGGTCGTCATGTCGTCATATATGAATTAATAAAATCAGATACCATAATTGATATGACATTTAAATCAGATAACGTTCAAAATATCAAACAGCGGACATTTATACCGGCTTCATCTGCAGTCGTTAGCACCCACCAACCCGCACTGGGCCCGTGTGGTGTTTCATGGCCCAGTCTCCCTATTTCATCCATAGGGAAGGTCTGTGCCCCACTGGTGGGGACATAATATGCTGATGATGATAATGGAATCAACAGTGATCTCATTTGCAGTGCCATTTCGGACCTGGACCATAAAGTATACACTTACCGCGGGTACGGACGGGAGTTCATGAAGTGCTGCAAGACCAGCCCCGACGTCTACATCCAGCTCGCTATGCAGTACGCCTACTACAAGTATGTTTTTGTACATATTCTATACAAGACCTAGAAATTACTTTGCCTGATGTTAAATATACGAATCCAGTTAGTAAATAGCTGGCGTAGCACAGAGACGTGAGCGAAGAATCCGCTATTCCCAAAAACACTTAAATTCCTTTTCTGTCAACGCGAAAGCAAACCGTTGCTTAATATATGTCTTTTGAATGTATGTTTTAATTTCCAATAATTATGGCTGGCATCTGCAATCTTGTAAGTTAAGCAACGCTTGCATCTGGACTGAAATTATTTTACTTTCATGCTATTTCTGACATACTCATCAGTTCTTGCCGATCAATGATGATTTTTTCTATTTTTTCTTCTCTTTTCGAGTTTATGAGCTTGCGGGTTAACTTAAATAGATGATGTTCACGAGAGGTTAATGAGGTTTTCATCAACATTCAGGCTGAAGCCACTTTGTAATACTACAGAAGTAAAAGAGGTATTAAAAATAAAGATAGAAAAAAAGATCCATACAAATGTAAGATTGAAATTAAAAGCTCAAGTGGTTAATATACAACTTTAAATCGTTGTAGATCCTAAACAATCAAATAAAATGAAAAATGGTGTAAGGAAACTAAACATGATTTTTGATTATCTAGACAATGATACCCCGCTCGACATATTTCGGCAACTTATTTTTTTTTCTTTCTCACAATATGGCGCCCATTTGTCTCCATATTGATTTTTGATTATTATCATATCTTTAGTAGCACTCCCATGATTAAGGCGAATCGATTGATGTATAAATCATCAAAATCGGTCCACGCGTTTTGTCTCTAGTGTGCTACAAAGGAACAAACATACATATACCCTGTCTGCGCGTCGCGTTTCGCGCTCTTGCATTGCGCAGTCGGGTAAAAAGAAGAATTCGGATATAAAAAGATAAGTATTTGTTGCTGTTGTCATGACAATGCTTTTGTTTGTGTTTAGAATGTACGGCTACCTAGTGAGCACATACGAGTCGGCGTCGCTGCGGCGGTTCCGCGGCGGGCGCGTCGACAACATCCGCTCCGCGCACCACCGCGCCCGCGACTGGGCCGCCGCCATGTGCAGCGCTGAAACACCGCCGCTGGGGGACTCCACCGAAGACGGACACAAGAAGGTTTCCTTTAACCTCTACGGGGTGAGACACCTCGCAATATGTAGCACTAACATATGCCGCCATGTGCAGCGCTGAAACACCGCCGCTGGGGGACTCCACCGAAGACGGACACAAGAAGGTTTCCTTTAACCTCTACGGGGTGAGACACCTCGCAATATGTAGCACTAACATATGCCGCCATGTGCAGCGCTGAAACACCGCCGCTGGGGGACTCCACCGAAGACGGACACAAGAAGGTTTCCTTTAACCTCTACGGGGTGAGACACCTCGCAATATGTAGCACTAACATATGCCGCCATGTGCAGCGCTGAAACACCGCCGCTGGGGGACTCCACCGAAGACGGACACAAGAAGGTTTCCTTTAACCTCTACGGGGTGAGACACCTCGCAATATGTAGCACTAACATATGCCGCCATGTGCAGCGCTGAAACACCGCCGCTGGGGGACTCCACCGAAGATGGACACAAGAAGGTTTCCTTTAACCTCTACGGGGTGAGACACCTCGCAATATGTAGCACTAACACACGCCTCCATGTGCTGCGCTGAAACACCGCCGCTGGGGGACTCCACCGAAGACGGACACAAGAAGGTTTCCTTTAACCTCTACGGGGTGAGACACCTCGCAATATGTAGCACTAACATATGCCGCCATGTGCAGCGCTGAAACACCGCCGCTGGGGGACTCCACCGAAGACGGACACAAGAAGGTTTCCTTTAACCTCTACGGGGTGAGACACCTCGCAATATGTAGCACTAACATATGCCGCCATGTGCAGCGCTGAAACACCGCCACTGGGGGACTCCACCGAAGATGGACACAAGAAGGTTTCCTTTAACCTCTACGGGGTGAGACACCTCGCAATATGTAGCACTAACACACGCCTCCATGTGCTGCGCTGAAACACCGCCGCTGGGGGACTCCACCGAAGATGGACACAAGAAGGTTTCCTTTAACCTCTACGGGGTGAGACACCTCGCAATATGTAGCACTAACATATGCCGCCATGTGCAGCGCTGAAACACCGCCGCTGGGGGACTCCACCGAAGATGGACACAAGAAGGTTTCCTTTAACCTCTACGGGGTGAGACACCTCGCAATATGTAGCACTAACACACGCCTCCATGTGCTGCGCTGAAACACCGCCGCTGGGGGACTCCACCGAAGATGGACACAAGAAGGTTTCCTTTAACCTCTACGGGGTGAGACACCTCGCAATATGTAGCACTAACATATGCCGCCATGTGCAGCGCTGAAACACCGCCGCTGGGGGACTCCACCGAAGATGGACACAAGAAGGTTTCCTTTAACCTCTACGGGGTGAGACACCTCGCAATATGTAGCACTAACACACGCCTCCATGTGCTGCGCTGAAACACCGCCGCTGGGGGACTCCACCGAAGACGGACACAAGAAGGTTTCCTTTAACCTCTACGGGGTGAGACACCTCGCAATATGTAGCACTAACATATGCCGCCATGTGCAGCGCTGAAACACCGCCACTGGGGGACTCCACCGAAGATGGACACAAGAAGGTTTCCTTTAACCTCTACGGGGTGAGACACCTCGCAATATGTAGCACTAACACACGCCTCCATGTGCTGCGCTGAAACACCGCCGCTGGGGGACTCCACCGAAGATGGACACAAGAAGGTTTCCTTTAACCTCTACGGGGTGAGACACCTCGCAATATGTAGCACTAACGCTCACCGCCATGAGCAGCGCTGAGCCCCTGCCGCTGGGGAACTCAGAAGACGGACACAACAAAGTCTCTTTCAACCTCTACGGGGTGAGACAACTACCAACATGTAGCACTAACATCCGCCGCCATGTGCAGCGCCGAGTCCCTGCCGAGGACTCAAAAGACGGACAAAAGAAAGTCCCTTTCAACCTACACGGGGTGAGACAACTCCCAACATGTACACTACACTAACATACGCCGCCATGTGCAGCGCTGAGCCCCTGCCGCTGGGGATCTGAAGTCGGACACAAGAAAGTCCCTTTCAACCTATACGTGGTGAGACAACTCCCAACATGTAGCACTAACACCCGCCGCCATATGCAGCGCCGAGTCCCTGCCGCTGAGGGACTCAAAAGACGGACCCAAGAAAATCTTCTTCAACCTCTACGGCAGTGTTTCCTAACCTTTCGAATACTGCTACCCCTGTAACCTATTAGGAAAACAGATTTTACCCCGACTTTAAGATGTTATCATCAGTTCAAGAAATTCCAATTTGGCCGCTACATCTTCGTCTCTAACAGTGTCATCATCAGGAGAAAATTTCAGCCTGCTTCCCACACTCTGCACCCCGCGGGCTCGCTAGCAAGAAGGAGCGCATGCTCTATTTAGTAGTATTATTATTTATTATTTAGATTTGACCAAATAATTAGGTTCTTTGTTACCCCCGAAGTATGGCTGATTTTCTTACCCCCAGGGTTAATTACCCCCAGGTTCGGAACCCAGGCTCTACGGGGTGAGACAACTACCAATATGTAGTACTAACACCCGCCGCCATGTTCAGCGCCAAGCCCCCGCCGCTAGGGAACTAAGAAGACGGGCACAACACAGATAGAGCTTGCGACAAGGGCAATTTGTGGCTACATTATTCCAATTCGAAAACCATAAATTAGCGACTGTCGTGCGAATTTTTTAGGCAACCACTTACCGTCAGGGCTCATCCAGGTTCATTTCCGATATTGGGGCGTCCTGAAGAAAGAACTCATCATAAAGAGGTTTTCCTTCTCCATAAAGTCAATCAACATCCGATCTCTGGTGTTCCTTTGCCCAAATACAAAATACCCACTCTCAACTCATAACCGCAACGCTTCCCCAACCGAACGTTGAAGCCCCCCATAACAACTGCTTTAGAGCTTTAGACATCTCCTCATATATAGCCTCCATTCTTCATCTGGATGTGTCGAGGTTGAAGCATAGACCTGAATGACATTCAACGAATTTCTTTTCAATACTCTGAGTATCAAGTAAGCCACCCTGGTCGATACACTTCCGATGGTTATCACGTTGTTGACGATGGACTTATGGACGATAAACCCAACACTGCCTTGGGGCTGTTGATCGCCCTCCCGGTAATATAGTAAGTTACCGGAATTGAGGATTATCGAGTTCTCTCCCTCTCTTCGGACTTCAGATAGACCGATGTCATCCCAGCGTAACTTACTAAGCTTCTTCCAACTCCGTTAACTTCACCACAGTTTTCAATGTGCGCATATTGTAGGTTGCCAGGTACAGTCGTCTTTGATGGTAGTCGGATCTTACCCGGAGATTTTTCGCACCCCCTGCCCTGCCCCCTGGCTTGGACATGCAGAGCTGCCGGGGACTAGGGGCCAATTTTTATTTGTGTCAGACATTAGGGGGATTTTGCCGTAATCACAACGCTTGGCAGACGGGTCTGCGATCACAGTATGGCCATGGAATTGAAGATAAGACGCTGCTACCCGTCTTCTGCTGGCTGTGTTCCCGTAGTCGCCTTCTACGACACCCATGGGACGAGATAGGGTGGTGCTATTCTAGGCCTGCACACACGCGGCATGTGGACTGTGGACATTACCTTTGGCCTTCATAGGCCATTTGTCCACCGCGGCCAGCAGTAGAACGTCAGCGAGAACGTGATGATGAGGAGACACATACACATACATTTACTATGACCAGCTGTCCACGCGTCATGTCATCTTTATCTCTTACATAAATAATCTCGCTCTCGGTAATGGATCACCGAGTCATAGATACGTATAGAGGATGAACTGATCAATATCTACACAAAATGAATCCCGGTCTAGAAAATTAGAAAACTCTAGTACTTACTGCAATACACATTCAAACTACTGGCCATTACTTTTTCTCTGCCCATATTTAACTTACAGCCGAATAATGAACGTTCAGTCCATTCTTTTAGATATGAATAATGTACTTTTTCCATTAACACAGGAACAAAAGAAGCTAGAATTGTTCGAGGAGGCGGCCCGCAAGCAGACCGCCATAATGGAGGACAACATCCTCGGCCGCGGCATCGACAACCATCTGCTGGGGCTGCGAGAAGCTGCACGAGCGGTCAACGCAGATCTACCACCTGTATTCACTGATGCCACTTATAAGCAGATGATCGAGTTTAAACTTAGCACTAGCCAGGTCGGTTCAGCCAAGGAGCCAATACTCAATACTTTCGCAGTGGTCGGTCGTTGGATGGGTGACCAAAAATTTACTATCTCGAGCTTCTCCGTGCTTCGGAAGGCACGTTAAGCCGTTGGTCCCGGCTGCATCTGCAGTCGTTAGCACCCACCAATCCGCACTGGGCCCGCGTGGTGGGCCATGGCCCAATCTCCCTATTCCATCCATAGGGAAGGCCTGTGCCCCAGCAGTGGGGACATTAATAGGCTGATGATGATTGATGATAAGGGACCTGATTGATTTATCAATGTTTGTCATGGTTACTTACTATATATGTTATTATTTCAGCTGTTTATAATTATATGTTTGTGTGTTTTTATTGATCAATAAAATGGTTCTCTCGAGAACTCTCGAGAACTCGAGTGAGAGGTCTCTCTATTTAAGAAAATGCAATCACAAGTAGCTATAGTTAATCCAATCAAGTTTTTATCTATAGAATACTAGCAAACCCGGCGAACTCCGTTTCGCCACCAGATGGCTTCGTTTTATGTAACATTTCGTTTGGTGATTAAAAGAAGATTTTTTTTTAACTTATCCTGAATTTTCTTTTTTATAAACCTCACGGAGCCCGAGACCTTTCTAATGAATGCAAAACCGTGGAAATCGGTTCGTGCGTTCTGGAGTTATAGCGTCAGGAAGGAAAACCCGACTTATTTTTATATAGTAGATATTGATGTTCGTAGGTTACCACCACCACCGACGGTACTTTCATGGGTTACGGTGCCGTAGTTCCCGACGGATACGGCGTCAGCTACAATCCCAAGAAGGACAGCATCATCTTTTGTATCTCTTCCTTCCACGCATCCAGCATCACTAGCACGGAAGCTTACCGCCAATCTCTAGAAGAAGCTCTGGATTCTATGAAGCTCATGTTCCAACATAGACAACCCGACAAATGAGGGACAAGCTAAGTATCTTAATAATTTAGGTGTTTGAAAGAATGGGTTTTGGGGAATTTTATTTCAAGGTTTTAGAGACAGGAAGGTTTGATCAAAGTAAGTAGATAAGGCCAAAACTAGCTAAAATGAATGAAAAAAAATATAATAAAGAACTAAAAATACTAGAAGCATATTCCTGTGGTGAACTCGACTAAAAATAACGCTATGCTAAAAAGGAATTCTTTGATGAAACCTTTCAAATATGCAATTTTGTTGATCGATTTTAAATTTTTACGGCTAATAAGTATGTCAATTACATATTTAACTAGAAACACGAATTCAATGAACTTAGAAAACGCATGGTGAATATGATATTTAGCAAGATACGCTATATATAATATATTATATATATATATCATGATCATAAAATCAAATTTACTTGCTAAAGTTAACACTTTGAATATAAAGAAAAGTTTACTAGAAAAAAATCCACGCGGACCAGGCAGCGGACGGGACCCGAACCCGCACCCTTCGCAATCCGGGCTAATGCAATGACCATTATGCTACCACGGCCCTAATGGTCAGTGCATTCGCCCGGATTGCGAAGGGAAGTTCGAGTCCCGTCCGCTGCCTGGTCCGCGTGGATTTTTTTCTAGTAACCTTTTCTTTAGATTTAAACATCTAGCAGTTAAATGCTTAAAATTAATAAAAAAAAACATAACTATTAATATAGTTATATTAGTGTGCAAAGCATTCAAGCTGAACAAAATTATTATTAAATATTTATTACGTATTACAAAATATTTAGATTGCATCTACAATTTAATACAATTTATAAGAAATTTAATACATATCAAATGAATTTATTATTGGGCAGACATTACTGAATTAAAAAAAAAGTAACAATGCATATCATTAAAAATAAATTTACTAATAAAATATTTATTATACGCACACAAATTTAGAAGTAAGGAAAGAGAAACATATCATGAAATGACTTTAAGAATTTAAATATATAAATAGTTTGCTTATTATTCGATTATAGAAATATGGTCAAAAATCTATTGAAATTATAATAAAAAGAATTAATGTTATTGTTTTAACTAATAGAAGTTTTTAATGGATTATTTAAATATAATATAAAAATATATATTTATTTATATGCCAAGCTGAGATAAAGTTAAGGTGTGATTAAATCGCTGTTTCGTAGTTTATTAAAAAACTTAATCTTAATTATGTATGTGAATACACTTTATTTAATAAAGTTATAAAAAATAAACAATAAGCTTTCTACATCTATTTGACATACGATTATAGAAACGTGTTCTTTAAAATATCAATGTAATATAAATTTTTGAATTTATTTTCCTGCTTTTGAAAAAAGTGTATTATCACTATTTGTTAGTTAGTATTCCTGAATAAGGTTCTAGTTGTGCAATTAGCTAATTGATTTAGTTATTTACGAGTAATTGACTTAAAATAAGAGGTTCTCAGTTCGATCTCTATGTCTATATGTATGTTTGAGCAATATATAAAATGCGTCCCAACATGTTTTTTTAGATGTATACATCTATGTGTTGTACACAGCAAATTGTCATTGTTGATGTATGTCAAAACTGTATGTTTTAGTAAGAATTGATTGTATGAACCCAGCGTTCTAGTAATTCTACCTACTAAGTACCTAGATTTAAATTAAGCCTAGTTTTTACGAGACGGTGTTATTTCCAATTAAGTAATGCTGCCACCTAGTGTCAAATTTTGTGAATTATTTTTTCAACACATTTGCTCAATAAATGCATTTCAGAGCTTACGTATACATTTTTCGAAAGTTCAAAATTATGCGCCATATAACAGAGCGTGCGGTTAAACGTTTTACCGCACGCGCCCATGCATGGCGCCGTGCGTATTCTTTACGGTTCATTTTTTAATATCTGTCAAACCTCCTTGAAGCGCTTTTAAGCTATATATACCTACTAGCAAACCAGTGAACCAAATGTTCACCAAAAAAAAATGTATTTAATTAATTGAGAACTTCGGAAATTTTGTGTGGTTTCGTTTGAAATAGAAATCACGTGATTTCTCGAAAACCGGAAGTGCTACGTTACTCACATCCGGTTTGTAGTCTTATCAGACTATTCTTAACTTATAACTTAAACATTCTCTATATCTATCTCTTACGGTTTGGCCGCTGAAACAGCACCACGGACGGACGGACGGACGGACGGACTTGTCTAATAGATAAGAGATACCTTTGGCTCACTTTAATAAAAACTACTACAACTTTACTAAAAAAAATAGACGAAAGATGTAGTTGTATTTTCACCACCTCCACGTGGCGCCATATGGAAATGCGCGCCATTTTCCCTCTCAGGTTCGAGTGGTCTAGAGGCTCCAGACGGAGAGGAGACTCCCCCCGTGGGGAGATGCCTCCTCTAGAGGTATTCCAGGCGGATGGCACCAATTCTCGACTTAGGGTCCTTTTAGGATCACGCCGTGTCCAAACCCGGTGACGCTGTAAAGGTCATCTGCGACCAACAGCATACACACTCAAATAAGCGCTGTTATCTTAAGAATAAGATTTTGCTTCATTACTAAAAAAAAAAACTGTTACATTCGTACGCAATTAGTATTTACAAACTCATGACTATGATTACCGTACCCGTTTGTATTGTCCAACTTACCGCACTAATATCATTAATACATTAAATTAATTAATCATTAACTATTTCCAAAATTACGTCGAGATTAAACATTACATAAAAATAAATTTGTCTTATACTACATTTACACAATCACTTGCGCATTTTTAACATTGAAAATGATTTCTTGTTCGCTCCAGTAGGCGCCCATTTTCGCTAAAAGTGCGACTCGCCAGTGGTACCCTGAGGCTTAGGGCCACGAGGATGTATGAGGGCACAAAAGACGCGGAATTCGAAGCGCTTTAAGAAAATATAAAAAAATATTTTGGAAAAGTCAATAACTTTTTTGGAAATCGAAAAAAACTGTCTTTTTTGACTGAAAATCGTGTGTTTTCACGGACAATTTCCGATATATTGCGAATTTCAAAAATATGAAAAAAAGCATTCGTCTTTATTGAACCAAGGAACATTTTAGGTCATTACACTTTTTTCGATATTGGTGACGGTTGGGGCTGTAGCAGTGTTACCAACCTTTACCAAAATTTTACCCTAAGTATTTTTTAAATTCCCCTAAAATCCCCTTAATATAGAAATTTATATGTACCTACTTATCTTATTACCTAAATTCTTTCGTTGCTCATAAATTAAAACGTTCCATATTTAGTTACAGTAAATTATTTTATTGAATAAATACATTTTCCGAATGGAAAATCAAACGAAAATGAGCTGACAGGCTATTAAATCTTATATAGCTGGTGGAAGGCAAAGAACTTTAGTCCATACAGCCTTAGGAAACAATCTGCCACACAGTCAGTTCAGTCGTTTCATATCATGGTGCGTTCCATTCTACGCAAAAACTGAAAGAAAACACACGCTTTGTTTTTCGATTTAATTGCATGTTTTGTTAAAACCCCCAAAAAATTTCAGCCCCTAAAAAAGTCCGTTTGAACCCTTCTAGCCCCTAAATCTGGGGGCAAAACCCCTAAGTTGGGAACCGTGGGCTGTAGAGGTGCCCTCAGCCGCGAATTTTACGCGGAAATCAGAGCGAAGAGCTTTAAGATGATGTAAAAATATTTTGGAAAATTTGTTTTTTTTCATAATCTATAATCAGGAGATTAATTTTCAATGCCCTTTCAAGTCGTTTAGAGCACGAGATGTGTGATTTTTTATTGTACGTAGGTATATACGATCAAATCAGACACCAACTATCTTAATCCCAATTTAAAGTAGGTATGGTAAATTTTACGACATTACATTCACCGTCACGTGAAAACAGGGGCTTACGACGTAGTACCTATATAATTTAGCTTTATTAAGCTATTATAGCCTGTTCTTATGACTTTTTAGAGCTTTTTACATTCCAATTATATTTTAATTATATACATCTGTTAAAGTTGTAATAAATTATAAAGTTATTTACGACAAAAATTACATATCTTAAAGATAAGGTGTCCTAATGTAAAATAATGTTACATTCCTTACTATTAAATGAAATTATGCTGCAGTTAAAACTGCAGGTATTATATCGCTCGCTACTATAGATGCGAAGATGGTTATTAATGATTTTAATTATGCTGTAAGCATTTTCGGTTATTAACGGTTATTTAACCGCATTTATTGCTTGTTACGGTTAACAAGCACCGCTAGATGGCGCTAGTGTATTGAAATGCGTAATGCGTTTAGGGGTGGGAGCACTGTAAGCATGTTTTTTTTTTCAGATTTTTCAATTTAATAGTTTAGATTTTATGGGAGGGACGCCCTACGCTACCAAAAATTGGCATTATAAAGATTAATATTCCGCAAACCGAGTCCTTAATCGAAAAACAGTCTTCGCCAAATGTTTATTTACAGACGTGTGTGTGTGTGTGTGTGTTGCTTATGTAGTTGAGTCGGAACATATTTTATTTGTTGCTAGTATGAGCGTACCGCATCTTCCCTTTTTGTGTCAATCTAAGGATTTTAGTTATTACTTCGTAATATTAATATTAAAGATACTTTATTTTTTTGAAGTTATACTTCTTTAGGCGCGTTATGAAAAAATGATGAGAGTGAAATTTTTAGATGCGCGCGCATCACTGTAACCCAAAAGTAACAGTATGAAGTTGGCCGCGGGCGCGTTATAAAAAAAATCATGTGAGTGAAATTTCGAGATGCGCGCGCATCACTGTAACACAATAGTAACACCATGAAGTTGGCCGCGGGCGCGTTATGAATGTTAGTGTGGATTATTAACCACTTAGTGGTTAATAATCCACCATTATTAGACATCTGTTCGAAAGGTACTTTGAACGATCCACGGAGCTCCATAAGATGATCGCGTTGTCAAAAACAATGTTGGCACGCTCGTCGCCTCTGATCACTGTTTTCATATTTATAATATTTATCCACATGTTTCTAGTTTCTATATAGACACAACGTGTTTTAGTTACTTACAAGTGCTAATTACATATGGACTAATAACTTAAATTCAGTAGTGATTTTAA